CACTAAAAGGAATATACATACTCTGTATATCTACACAGAATTAGCAATATGGGACAAACGCTGTGTCCAGAAATAATTTTTTAGTAGCTTTTAACGTTTTGACCAAGCAAAACGTTAAATGTTATTTTTTTTTTATAATATTTGGTAACACAGTATTTAAACTAACTTTTAAAAGTTAATATAATATTTTATAAAAAATTAATCATATAATATTTAACTTTTAATATTTTATAAAAATTATAAAAACAGTTAACAATTGAATACTATTAAAAAAAAATTAACATCAATAAAAATAGCTAATTTTGTCTACACATTCAAAGAAAAGGAAAGGAAAGGCAAGAGAAGAAAGAAAGAGAAAAGGCTTATCCAAAATTCTGTCCTCCATCGTTGCCAACTTCTACGCTCCATAATCATCCAACCCCCACGGAATCAAATGCCCATCATCCCAAATCATTGGTGGGTCTCTCTTGTCTCTCACACCCACACTTCTTTTACTCTCACACGTGCCAAATTTTTTTAGTTTTTTCAAAAATAGAGGATAAAAGAATTGATTAGGATAAAATTAAGGGACCTATGTGTATTTTTTTATAAAAAATAATAATATTTGTGTTTTTGCTGCTGCTGTTTGTGGTGATGACAAGGGAGCCACTCGCCAGGTATGTTCTGTTCTGTACTGTACTGTTTTGGCTTTTTGGAAGTGTGTGTGTGGATGAGATTTGGGAGAGATAGATTGATTAATTAATTAATTAATTAATTAATTAATTAAAAGGGTGAGATTTAGTTTAATGATATATGTAATAATTATTCCCAATCATCTCTTGAAAAAGTGAGAGTTGGGGAAGACAGCATCATAATTTTTTAAAATTTTTTACTTAAATTTAAAATATTTTTTTATTAATTTCTCTCTCAACTGTGTCAAAGTCAATCTCTGTCTACTTGGTTCCAAAAAAAAAATAATGGCAATCTACTTGCTTTTTGGTATACAGCCACTGGCTGACAAAAGCTTTGGATAATTCTCTTCTTTAAAATTGCATTACACATCTATCTTTTTGCCCTTTTCCCATTTTACATATATTTAATATCTTTTATAAAAATTTATATAATAAGAGTGAAATCACCAATCATTTTCTTCAAATATCCTTGCCTTTTGTATTTTTTTTTTCTTTCTTTTTCTTTTTTCTTTTCTTTTGACACTAGCAAACTGGTCCTATAGTGCAAGATTGCAAGTAGCATGATAGTGAAGATCAATGGAACCATCATTTTTCCCCTTTTTGCAATGGGAAAAATGTTTTTAATCAGTTAGGTGCTATGCCATGAATTCCTGGTTGGTCTGCAACCCTATTCATGTATACAAGTGTATAGTTAATTATTATTATTATATGTTGTTATGTAATTAAAATAATATTGTTTTTAAATATTATCTTCACACTATATTAGTTTTTTTATATGATATTATATTGCAGTTAATTATTATTAACTAAGTAGTTCAATATCTCATTATGCAAAATTTCCAAATCCATAACTATTATTTTCACTACAAAAAAAAATTTAAAATATTTAGAAAAATGGAAAAAAAAAATTTGATATTAATTCTTCCTTAATTATATGAACAGTTATTTCTCCCTTCTCATTATTTGATATAAATTTTTGTAAATTATTTTTATGTTAAATTAGACTAAAAACATGTCGATGCAGTGTTTATTATTTTTTTTTTTATAGAAAAATTTTGAAAGAAAAAGGAAGTATTCATCACTTAATATTTGAACTTATAATCTCTTATATTATTAAATAAACATTTCAACAATTGTTTTTTTTTTTTTTTACATGTTCAAACAATTGTTTTTTTTTTTTTTTGATATAATAGTTCACCTTTTGTAATATTTTTTTTTTTTTTTTTTTTGATATAATAGTTCACTTTTGTAATATTTGCAAGATAATACCATTTTACTCCATTCATGCAATAACGAACATTCATCCAAAAAAAGATAAAGAACACAAAAGTACTCTCACACAAAAACATTCTGGTTTGGAATTTCTTTTGCCTTTTCACTCTTTTGAAAATTGAAAAAGTAAACATCTGGTGCAATCTAATTATTATTTGTTCAAGTTTATCGATTTGGAAGCAAAAAACTATTAGGATTGGTCCTTTTCGAATTCTTGATGCCACTCATCCACTAAGAGAATATTGCATAGAAGCCTAACGCATAGGCGTAATCCATCAAAGTTAGTAGGGCAACATTTTTGGGTGAGTAAAAATGATTCTGCTAGTTTGGTTCCGTGAATTAGTCATCGGTTTTTGGTTCGATTAATAAATTTAGATTTATTAAGTGATAAGCTATAGTTCAATTAAAATTGAACTTAACTGTATTAATAAAATTAATCGAAGAACAAAACAACGTCATTTTAGTGTTTAGAATTAAAAATAAATATTAATATTAATTCAGTCAAGATCGGTTAATAAAACATTTCGGTTAAAACTTATCGTTAATTTAATTTTCATTTCTTTTATTTTGGCGCAGTTAATATAAAAATTAAATTGGTCAATTTGATTTGATTAAATATTTCGGTTAGTTTAGTTCTGTGAACTCTATGAGATTCGGTTTTATGAATTTTATAGATTGATCAAAGTTTCAAATTAGAACAGCTAATGAATGCTCTCTTAAATGCCGCCATTAATATAAATTACGTGCCGCACGCCCTTAATTTTCAGGGGGTGTATTGCGGACCACGCACGCTGCGGCCTGCCGTATGATTGAGGAATATGTATGTGCAATCCTTCTCATCCTATAATTAATTTTAATATTCTTAATCCTGGTGCAATTTAATTTAAAAAAAAACATCTTTTTTTTTTAATTTACTCTAAAATAAATACTCTCTCCGTTTCACTTTAATAGTAATAATAAATAGACATTATACTTTTTCCATTTTAAATGCTTATTTAGGATTTTGAAATTATATTAATTATTTTTTTCCAACATTACCATATTTATTAGGTGTAATTTATTTTTATATTTATATTTAAGAAAGACAATTTAGACATTATACCATATATTTTTAGAAAATCGACGAATTCTAATATTTTTTTTAATTATTTCAAATCCCTAATATGAGTTTGCAGGTAAAATTTGCTTAACCATACAGTTGATCTAACAATTGTTGTTGGGGAAAAAAAAGAAAAACAACTATTACAATAAAAAGAATTTATAAGTATTATTTTTTAGAATAACATAAAGCAGAAAAGATGAAGCTTATGACGAAATGAATATTGGTATTTTATCTCATATACTTTAACTTATTTTTTAAATCTGTATTTTTACCCCTTAAGGATATATTCCATGAATATTTCCACTTAAAAAAAAAGAAAAAAAAAAGAAGACAGAGAATGGAATTCTTTCTGAAGAATATTGAATTGAGTTACAAATCCATGACCTAATTCTTTTGAAGAATTAATGATCCTTATTACTATGGTTGAAAAATAAATAATTTAGGTTTATCATGTTTTATGGGTGACCTAACTTCTCATCAGCATAGCCGACAAAGCATTATTGAAAGTGCTTGTACATGTATACGTAGCAAAAGTGGGTCCCAGAAACTCCACATCAACTTTCTAGTTAAGCAAAGATCCGGATTCTTGTTGATGAATCATATTCTGGCACCATTATAACTCTTTGAAACTCCATTTGTGTCTTCTACCTACTTTGTTTTTATTGTTTTAATTTCACTTTTGTTTTTTTTCTTATTTTTTTAACACATAACAATACAAGAAAACTCTCATCAAACCAAAGAAACCAAGCCCACTCCTCTTGGCTGTTGTGATCTTAAGAATTAAACCAAAAAAAAAAAAAAAAACTTAAGAATTAAACCAAAAAAAAAAAAAAAAAGGAAAAAAAAAAAAAAAAAAAGGAAAAGAAAAAGTCTCTCTAACTAGAGATATATAGCTAGTGGACATCCTTTTCTAATCTCTTCTTCCACATTCATAAGAAGCAAGAATAAACTACCCACCATATCTTCATCCCTTTCTTAATTAAAAATAGATAATAATGGTATATTTTTTTCAAGAATTAGAAAAAAATAAAGAAGAAAGAATTCTATTTTGGTAAGCAATGTGACATGATACCCATCTCTAGCTAGTTAAACCAGGCATGGAGTGGGAGACAGTTCATGTGGTCTGTTTTAAAGGGAACTTATTAATATCCAATTATAGCTAACCAATAATCAAATTCTCAAAAAGCAAACTTTTCTTTTCTTTTCTTTTCTTTTCTTTTCTTTCCTTTTCTTTGTTTTTATTTTAAGCCCTCACTTGCTCAGTTAAAGCTAGCAAATTAATCAATCTTTGAATGGGTGCAAATAGCTAGTACATATAGATGGCCATTATTATCATCAAATTATTAATGAAAAGATTAAACAAAAAATATCACTAACACATAATAATAATAATAATAATAATAATAATAATAATAATAATAAATGTTACCCATGATTTTATTGGTAAAAATTGCACACATAGCTTTCTATTTTCGTTGATCCAATCCGATTCGTATTTATAAATAGAGAGAGAAAGAGGTAAATAGTTAATTTTGGCACGTTAATGGGTGGCGAACCGCTGAGCGAATCATTCCCTTGATGTGTCTCCCACTGCCATGTGAACTTGTATAGTAGTTATAGAAAGAGAGAGAGTATTTTTCTTATTTGTTTGATACGATAATGAGAAATGAGGAGGATAATAATAGTGGGGTTCAAATGGTCAACCTTTGTATAGAGAGAAAAGATAGAGAGAGAGAGAGAGAGAGAGAGAGACAGAGAGAGATAGAAAGAAAAAATATAAAGAAGGAGAAAGAAAGAAAGAAAGAAAGAAAGAAAGAAAGTCCTTCATAATTTCCATGCCCCCCAGAAAGAAAGAAAGAAAGAAAGAAAGAAAGTCCTTCATAATTTCCATGCCCCCCAAGATTCGTTTCTCTACTCAATTCATTCCTTTGATTAACAATTATAGCCACCCACCCACCCACCCACCCGAAATAAAAAGTCTAATTCTCTCATTCTCTTTTAAAAACACAACTCTCTCTTTACCTCCTCTCTCATTTCTCTCTATACAAACCAAAGCCATTTCTCCTTTCTTCCTCTCCTTCTTTCTCGAAAACAAACTATACCCTTTCATTGTTTTTCCGTTTCTTGGCTGATGGGTTGTTTTGATGATGGCTGTAACACTGGCCTTGTTTTAGGGTTAGGTTTCACTTCACCAAAACCAGAAGACAAACAAATTAACAGTAATAATATTCATAAACCCAAAGTTATTAAGCCTAATTGCACACTTTCCAATGGTTTTGAGCCTTCTCTTAGCTTGGGTCTGTGCGGTGGCGATGCTTATCGTAGCAATAGCAAAACATTAGATGTGAAGAAAAGTTTTGATCATCAAGAAAGTAGTATAGTTGTTGGCGTTGTTGGTGCGGAGTTGTTTAGTCAAGCTTCTCCTCATAATAGTCATAGTGCTGTTTCTTCTTTCTCTAGTGGCAGAGTTAAAAGAGAAAGAGATCTTAGCAGTGAAGAAATAGAAGTAGAGAGAGTTTCTTCAAGAGTTAGTGATGAAGATGAAGATGGTACAAATACAAGAAAGAAACTTAGGCTTACTAAAGAACAATCGGCTCTTCTAGAGGAAAGCTTTAAGCAACACAGCACTCTTAATCCTGTAAGTGATTAATTAATCTCTCTCTTTATTTTCGTAATTTTACTTTCTTGATTTGGTTTTAAAAATATATTTATTTCTTAATTATTGACAGAAACAAAAGCAAGCTCTAGCAAGGCAGTTAAATTTAAGGCCAAGACAAGTTGAGGTGTGGTTCCAAAACAGAAGAGCCAGGTAAATCATCTTTAATTTGATTAATTAATTAACTAAACCAACTAAACGATAATTAAGAAAAGATTATGAAATTTTTTTTTATAATTAATAGACTCTGACTAGGGTATCAACTTTGAATACTCTTGGAGCTTAGTTCCCTCAAAAACGATTTCAATATTATCATTGGTCCAATCCATGTTGATTGTTCAAATTTGTTATTTCCAAGAAACAGTTCTATGACCCATGAAATATCCAAGAAAGGCCCACAAAGAAAAGTTTGCATATTTGCTATTTCCTTTAAGAAAAAAAAAAAAAAAAGAAAGGTAGATGAAGGTACCTGTGCACAAGGCACAAGGTACAAGTACTTGAAGCCCCATAGTTAAAAGAAAGATTTTAATTAGCTTGTTTGTTTCAAGTCTTAATTAAAGATTAAATCAACTAATTAATTTGTAATGATTTGCAGGACAAAGCTGAAGCAAACTGAAGTGGACTGTGAGTTCTTGAAGAAATGTTGTGAAACACTAACAGATGAGAATAGAAGATTACAGAAAGAACTTCAAGAATTGAAAGCTTTGAAATTGGCTCAACCCTTTTACATGCACATGCCAGCAGCTACTCTTACTATGTGCCCTTCTTGTGAAAGGATTGGTGGTGTTGGTTCTGATTCTGCTACAAAGAATAACCCATTTTCGATGGCTCCAAAGCCTCACTTCTACAATCCCTTCACCAATCCTTCTGCAGCATGTTAAATTAATATATACAAGACAAAAAGAAAACAGAAGAAGAAGAAGAAGAAGAAGAAGAAGAAGAAAGAGTATAGAATTTTCACAACCCCTCTGTTTTTTGGTTAAGGGCTTGTAGTCAAAAGAATCGTGTAATTAATTATTTTGTAGGAAATAGTAAATTAAACTACTGATCCATCTCCTTTCTCTTCTTTTTTTTTTCTTTTATTTTTTTTTCCATTTCTACATCTTTGTATATTCACCAAATATATATCACAAATATATATGTATATATATATATATTATTATATATATATATATATATATATATGAAGGCAGGAGTATTATTTATTTGTTGATTTTTACACTTTATATATGATTCTGATATTGTAATTTCTCCCTCTTTTATCTTAGTAATTAAATGTTCATATGCAATGTTTATATATATTTTCTTATGTGAGAAGTCAAAAATTCAAATTGGATGAGCTTGACAAAAAAAAAAAAAAATCAATAAATAATTAGAATTGGAATTTTTATTATTATAAAAATAATTAATAACATTTGAATCCCAAGTTCACAATTGTAAAATGGGATTGAATTAATTATTTTTTTTAAAAAAATTGAATTGAAACTAAAGTATTCAATTTATTTTTTTCTCTTATTCATAATATTACAGTCCAAACCTAATTATATTATAAGATGATATTTAATGTAAGTTGTAATGAGTCATACCACAATGATGAGGGATGACTAATGAGGCATTGCCATAGTCATGCTTTTCAGTCTAACCCTTCTTTTGGTTAGTTGGCTGCAACAAATAGGAAAAGGCAAGAAATAAAAAATAAAAATATTATTCAAGAAATAACAAATAAAAATATTATTATATAATATAATATATAATATATAATTATAGTTATACAGTAAGAAGATAAGTGATAAATCAGTTGAAGGTATGATTTTAGTGAGAGAGAGAGAAGAAATGGTGGGGGTGATGGATATAGTATAAGTAAGAAGATAATGATAAATCAGTTGAAGGTGATGATTTAGTGAGAGAGAGAAGAAGAAATGTGGGGGTGTGGGCGGTTAGCTCACGTGTACCTGTCCCTAATACTTATATTCAGTTGCGCTATAATAGAAAAGATAAACAAACAGAAAAAAAAGACCAAAAGGGTCAAATAATGGGTGGTGGTGAGAGGCGTGTAGACAAAGAAAGGAATGGAAATTCTTATTTTTACTCATTTATATTTTATTATTATTAAATTTTAAATTCTACTTTTTCCAATTGAAATAATATTCCATGCATTTGAATTAAACTCAACGTTGGATGAAATAAAATAATTGATACTTCTTAATTGATGATCTTGAATTCAAGTTTATTTATGAATATTGCCATACTGAAAGATTGGATTCTACCCCTCAATCTAAAAATTGCTATGTTGAAAGAACTACGCCTATGAAACCCTCTGATATGCAAGCTGAACGTAATTAGAGTTCCATAAACTTTCGATGCTAATGGTAATAAATTGAAAAAATTTATAATAAAAAGATTAATGATAACGGATAATGTATTTAAAAGTAAGGCCAATTTTTTTATTATTTGTCGTTTAAAGCCATTGTCATTAACAAAATTTAAATTTTTTTTCAAATTTGCACTCGGCGGACTTATAAAAAGCAAAGCGCTTAATTCTGAGTATTTAAAATACTATATATTCAGGACTTAAACTCAATATCTTTAGTTAAGGTAGAAGATATTTCTGTCATCTCATATCATATCTTGGAAATTAATATTTTAATTAACAATGCTTAATAAATAGTACAATAAGAGATAGTCTAGAGATAAGTATATGCACGACCTGATAATAGATTTAAGTTCGACCTCCATGTTAAAAGGAATTCTTAATAAACAAATATTAAAACTTAATTTGCAATAAATTGTTTTGAAGATAAATTTAGCATTATTCGTTTTCCAATTATTGGAAACAATTACTCATGCTTTTTGTGAAAATTATTTATGAAATAAGTAAGCATGTCAAGGTCTCGTGAGGTGCTTTCTCTTTAAGGGTACTAGTGGGTCACATGCCACGTGATGTCCCACTGGGCTTCTCTTATCTACAATCTGCATCATGGGATTTTTGCCATGAATGTCAGATTACATGACTCCGAACTAGATGGGACCCCCCCTCCCCCTCTTTTCTTTTGATGTTTAAAATTTTCAAATTCCATTTCAAAAGTTAGATATTCCAAGTTTACAATAATGGAACATATCTTAGGTTAGGGTTTATTTGTAATTATAATTTCACCTTTTCAATAAATATCAATTTCTTTTTAGATATTTTCACGAAGTGTTCAGTAATTTAAAATTATTTCTAAAAAAATCATTTTCAACTTAATGAGAAATAAAATTCAATATTTAAGGTTTTACACATTTACTTAATGGACGGTTGAGATTGATTTGGGCTTTGTATAAAAAATAAAAGTAAACCTAAAATATACGTTATCATGATTGGTGTGGACATTGTGCATTGAAATGATGAGAAGGTTCTCTCATAGAATAGTCCACACATCTATATACATTGATGCCCTGAAATTGTGGTGTGGACCAATAAATGATGAGGGGACTTTCCTGCAAAAGTTGGCACTTTCCAGGAAACTTACTCTATCATCATCACCATCACCCCTTTCATCATCCTTTTTTTTTTTTTTTTTTTTTTATCACCGCTTTACATCATCTTTTTTTTTTTTTTGTTTTTTTTTGTTCACCATCTAATGAGTCACCATCATATTAAGGTTTGTTGTATAAGACTACTTCCAAAATTTTTTTTTTTTTTTTTTTTTTCACCATCTAATGAGTCACCATCTATTAATTTTTGTATAAACTCTTCAAAAAATCAAACGCACCACCTTATTACTTCAATCAACAATTATTATTACTTTTAAAAGTCTAAGAGCTATTTGAATTTCTTTTTTCATCCAATAATTTTCTCATGTATGATAAATGTAAATTAACAATTAAATATAAAAGTCAATTTATATATTTACTACTTGTAATTATTCTTTTTTATATTAATATTAAATGTGTTAACTCTATTGATACAACCGCTTGTTGATAAAAAATTATTTACATTAATATTACAAAAATTTACAAATAACAAAATTATTTATTTTGTGCTCAAGATTTAATATTAAAAACTAATTAATTAATGTAAAAATCTAATTAATTAAATAAGTAACATATTTATTTGTTAATTTAGCTAATCTTTTGATATAGTAATATTTAAAGATATCATCAAGCCACTGATAATTAATTATTGATTCAATACTTCTCATCATGATACATATAATAACAATAATTAAATTCAACATTTATTATTAAAAAATTTTCTCTTTGAATTCAAATTCTTTTACTAATTCAATATAGAAATGCAGCTTGTCTTGGCTTTTTATAAAGTGAGTCTCTTTGTGAGGAAACCAAATTGATATTTGTGTGAAAATGATGACAAAGTGGCTTCTTCTACTTATATTATTCCTAAGAAACAAATGGAAAAGGAAAATTAATTAAAAAAAATACTAAAACCCTTTTCATTAATTAATACATTATTATCATAGTCATTGATTTGATTTACGTGTGGATGCAAGTAATTTTATTACAAAATACCAAAGACATGTGTCTCGTGTTGGCTTGATGGTCGGTCTGTCTAGTTTTACACCATTAAATACGGACATGATGTTATGGATGAGATTGTGCATATAATATATAATTAATCATTTTCTATTAATTATTAATATGTGCATGTAAGCTTGATAGCTACTAATCTTACATTTTCAACTAAGGGCTATAGCAGCCCATAAGAGCCACGTGTTGTGCACCTTTAATGGCAAGCACATATTCTATTAACCCAATAATCTTATTTACTTGAATAATTTCCAATTTAATTAATCCACAATTTATTCTTTTTATAATACAAGACACTAAAAATTAACTCAAATTCTAACAATCTCTTCTTTCTTTATATATGGCTATATATTAAATCAAAATTATCTTATTTAAAAGCCAGATGCATAAATTCACTCCGTATTTTACATAAAAAATTTTGGAACACTTTTAATATAACGAGTGTTCTATTATACTCTCAAAATTATATATTTTGATAATACTGCATACTTATCTATACTAAAAAGGATACTTTTTTTTAATATGTTTAATTTTCATATGCAAATTATTGATTTGATATGTGATTAACATAATTTTTAAAATAATAATTTTTATATTTTTAACAATTTAATAAGTATTTAATTAATTTAATTTAAAAGTTTGAACATGTAATAGAAAAAATTTTTACAAGTTAAAATATTTTTAATAAGTATAATTTTATTACTTAAAGTGTTTAATAGATCAGAATAAAAGTTGAGGGTGTCATAAAATTTTAGTATAAAGTACATAAGTTAATCCGCGTATTTCAGCCCTTATTTAAATAAGTAATTTAATTGTTTCCATCATAATCATAATAATTAGTTTGATATAATTATTATTTTTTAAGATTTCTTATGTTTTGAAGGGAACACTTGTAAGTAACCAAATGAAGAAGTTTGGACCAATTAAAGTTTGCCATATATATATATAATATAATTATACTGCTGATTAAATTAGGACATATGAACTATACATAACAGAGAACGACTTTTCTAAATTATATCCCCACTTATAAATTAAAATAAATTTTTTTAAACGAGAGTATTTTTGAAAACTTATTGAGAAAAAAATAGGAAAGTTGGAATGACATTTAAAAATTTTTATTTTCATTTGATTTGGTGCACCTATAGATTCAATGCATGTAAATTTTATTCATATAATTTTTCTATTATTCTCATTTTAAATGATATACAAATAATTATTTTATTAGAATAATAAGTAAAAATTAATGAATGTTATTGAAATAAGATAAAATTTAATAAAATTATAGTAGATAATTTAAGGATTAACTGTAATGAAAAAAAAGAGTCAACTATATTATGGAAAAAAAAAAAATGGAATAACTTCTTCAACCGGAGTATGATTATTGGGTTTGTGCCATTGAGACCAGGTCCACAAATAAATAACTGTTAACTGCCTTAGTTAGTTAGTGGGTAAAGTTAGAGATATAGCTAATAATGTAGGGGTTTTTCAATCAACGATAGAGACCATAAGGCCATTATCTCCAATCC